TGCAAAGGTTATTGCAGTTGTAGTGTAGCTAGGGCCAATTCTCTTTACTATATATATGCTCCGAATCAGTAGAGTTATTAGACAGCATGGGATTAATTTTCACTGTTATGCTGATGATACCCAGCTATATCTGTCTATAATCCAGATGAAGCTAACCCATTAAATAGATCAGGCATGACTTGAAGACATAAAAACCTGGATGACTCTTAACGTTCTGCTTCTGAATGCAGACAAAACAGAAGTTATAGTCTTTGAAAAAGAAGCTGATTAGCCAGTCATATCAAAGAGGTTTCTAGAATTTCATTCTTTTATCTGAGGAATATTGCAAAAATTAGAAATAATGATCCTGAGAAACTAGTCCATGCATTTGTTACTTCAAGGCTATTCTAAATCTTTACTATCAGGATGTCCACAAACTATAGTTAAAAGCCTTTAGCTGCTCTCTCTGCTTTTTCTCATAGTAGCTTCATCTGGTCTGTTCCTGTTTGGCTGTGACTCCATCCTGGAGAGAAATATCAGCTGTGCTGCTGCCATCAACACCTTTGTTTATAGATGTTGGAGATCAGCCTTTTTCCAGTGTAGTCCTGTTTCTCTGCCTGTGACTGGCTGGATGTGTTCTCTTCATCCTCTGACATGGGAGCTGGCTCAGAGCTTGTCTGCCTGGCTGTGTGTTTCCTGGATGGGGCTGCCTGTGGAGCTGGTTTACAGTTGCCTTTTGTATCATTGCTTCTTTTTCTATCTCTGCTTCTGTCTCCTTGAACCCCAGTCGGTCTCAGCAGATGGCCGCTCACACTGAGCCTGGTTCTGCTGGAGGTTTCTTCCTGTTAAAAGGGAGTTTTTCCTCTCCACTGTCGCTACAAGCATGCTTATTGTGAGGGATTGCATTCGAGTCAATGAGTCGATGCAATCAACTGGTTTTCTTTAGATAAAAAACTTTTAATCAATCTGACTGGATGATCTGGTGAACTTTAAAGTGCATTGAGATGACATGTGTTGTGAATTGGTGCTATAGAGATAAACTAAATTGAATCGAATTATTATTTCTCAGGGTTGGGAATGACTTTTGTCTTTGGAGAGTAAAACTGCTGCTGTCTCATGTTATGTCACTTTACTTCATAGAGGATGAGCCAGCTTTCTTCCCATAAATCTACTCGTATGCAGTAGTTGTAAGGCAATATTAACCTACTGGTGTTAATAATAGGATCGTCTGCTGTGTCAGGGGTCTGACAGCTGGAAATGTGACTCGCATCAAAATCCCCTTTGCAGAAACGCGATGAACACATTTTTGTGTTATGTCATGACTTTAAAAGAGAGTAAAGTTAAATCTTTAGGATTACAGTCCTCAGCTGCCGTTATGCTCATCTGCATTGTGTGGTTTTTAAATGGCAATTTTCCTTGTTTTTGTTCTCCTGAGAGATGAAATCAAACATTTCTCAGAAACCAAAAGCAAAAGTGTGTCCATCTTTGCTGTGTACAGGTCAGCACAAGTTAATTTTCCACTTATACTTTTGAAAGGAAAGTAAAAACACTGCAAAGAACAATCTAAGTCAACATTTCTTAAAAGTCTATTTGAGCTTAATTTAAGCAGGTTGATAAGATGATCTGCCAATTGATTTATTATTTTTGCTCTTGAAATAAGATAACTAGATATTATGCACTTGAATTAAGATAATGGAGTGTTTTTTTTTTTTCTTATTTTAATCATAAATCATCTCATTCCAGGGTAAATCTTTTTACCTACCTGCTCTATTCAAGATAACATGCTCAGGGAAATATGACTCATGTAACGACTTTTGTAGTGAACTTACCGTAGCAGCAGTATGGGTAGATTAGTCTAATTAATAGTAGGGATACATCAACACATATCTTTTCACTTACAGTCCCTTGATACTTGAATTTAGTTATCTGCAGATCCCGATACGCTTCAGATACCAGAGCACTGTTTGTCATCATAACTGTAGATTTATGAAGTCGTATTTAAATGTCTCACTACAATCAAGCATTATGTGCTCTGCACATTCCAAAAAGAAATTAAATTTAAAACAATCCAGTGGAGTTTGTTGCGTTGAGTTCGAGGTTTTAATATTAGGTTTTTATTAAGGCTATTCTGACATTTGAATTGAAAAAGCTTCCTGGATGGGAAGTGAAACGTCTCCAAACTTGGAAACAAAGTCCAATGGATTGTTTTTATCTTTCTTTTTTTTGGAATGACTATGACCTGGATCACTAAGCGTCTTCACCAGAACATGCGCTATAGATGGGGAATGTGGAGTCAACAAGTCATCCCCATGTCATGTATTTAATCTACCCAGCCAATTATCCAGGTGAGTCCAATCTGCACAGGTTGATTCAAGATGAAGATTGGACTCACCTGCTTCAGTGGGTGGGTAGAACAAATACATGACATCGAGAAGACTTGTTGACTCCACATTTCCCATCTCTGATATATATATATATATATATATATATATATATATATATATATATATATATATATATATATATACCTAAAGGGAACCTGAGATTATTATAAGGTCAGAGAGGAAACTCATAAGCAGTGCAAATCAAGTTGGACAGTTTATGGTAGAAATAGTCTTATGGATCGGCCCCATTTTCACAGATTTCACAGATTAAATTTATTCAGTATAAGGAAAATAACTTCTAGTTAACATTAGTGAAAAATGTTTTTCCTTTTTTGAGCACTCAGTAACTGAGCTGCTGATATTGGCAGTTCAAGGTGGGATTCAGGTACATGTTTGCTATTTGTAATATTTAGGAGACATAAAGAGTAAGAAGGTGAGATATATGATTGTATTTGAAGCTTCAGCTCTGTCGATGACCGGTTAGTTCCACTGAGATGTTTTTGCCACTAAAATGTTTTTGTTTTGTTTTGTTTTTAACTTTCAGGCTTTGCTTTCTACAAGGAAACAGAGACAACTATTCAATCTGTCAAGTTTGCACTTGTGCAGGTTTATGAGGTTGTTGGGATGTTTTGGTTTCATCTTTTCTGGCATTGATGCTGTCATTCCAAACATAGTTTTCATTTAATACAGTTAAGGTAACAAATTACAGATCTTAGCTGTTAACAGATTTAGTTTTTTTTAGTTGTCTTAAAGACAGAGAAAGTTGGACTAGACAACCTTAAAGAAAGTTGTCTGATGTTTGCTGGAAAGCAATACTCTGTTCTTTTCTTTTTTTGGTCTTCTGTGTTCAACCGCAGATGGTATCCAAAGAGTAGCTTGGCTTTGTTTACTGTGATGAGTGGAAAAAAAAGTATTTTTAAGATAAAGTAATTGAGATGTCAGTTCATCAAGATTATGATCCTACTTTTAAATATTTTCTTGTAGTTGTCTGAGCAGCAATTTACAGCTTACAGGCTGGTGGCACTTCCTTGTATCTGCTAAAGCAGTGGTCTCCAACCCTTGTCCTCAAGATCTACTGTCCTACAGATTTTAGATGCATCCCTGCTTCAACACAGCTGAATCAAATGATTGATTACCTTTTCAAGCCATTCATTTGATTCAGCTGTGTTGAAGCAGGGATGCATCTAAATCTGTAGGACAGTAGATCTCGAGGACCAGGGTTGGAGACCACTGTGCTAAAGCCTTTCACTCCTTAGTCTCATTTATCTTTGGATGGAAATACAAACTGTTTGCTGTTATACGTGTGGCGTTAATCCCTAGTCTGTATGGTATTTTTAAAAAAAATTTTTATGGCACTAGTGGGTCCTTTTTTGGACAGTAGGCTGACAGGAAAGGGAGAATGAAGAAGGTGAAAAGGACAACAGGTCTGATTCGAACCCGGAACCCGGCTGTGTCGAGGACTAAGTTCTCCATAAATGGTACGTGTGCGTTAACCACTGCGCCACAGAAGCACGACTCACACCTGTATGTGAGATAGTAATTGGAAAGTAGTTAAATCTTTCAGTGCAGACTGTTGGTCTTTGATCATAGCCCCATTTCCACTACCCTTTTGAAACCATGCCATGATCACGGTAACCAAGATTACTGTTGAGTGTAAATGGCACGCACAACTGAACTGGACTGCGCTAGACACAACTGAACCGCGCTAACATGGTACTAGTTCATCAGTAAGGCTCGGCGCAGCTCAGTTCTGGCTCAGTTCTCGTGTCTCCTCCCATTACAATTAGCCTCTGTAATCATTCAATTTCAGACATTCATAAAAATCCTAGCTTCCCTACCGTGCCACACGTTTTCCAGTGATGATTCTGCTTAGCAGTGTGATGAACCTCAACGTCTGTCCTTGTTTGCTGCTTCTGTAAGCCCTGATTAGACTATCGTTCATCAAATCCACTTCCCAAAAGCCGACTCTGTCAAGTTAATTCACCAAAGGCTGCCTTCTTCGCCTGAATCTCTGCAAACTTCCCATATGTTACAGGCGCCGCCCTGTTTGTTTGCTTGTTTACCTCTATAGAGCAATAGTACCGTAGATCACCACTAGGAGGGGAGGAGCCGGGCAAACATGGTTTGTAAATGGTTGTAAGGAACCGAGCTTGGCATGGTTAACTGGTCCAAGCTCGGATCAGTGTTTAGATGGTAGTGGAAATGGGGCTCAAGTTGCATGAAAGTTAGGACAATTAAGAATTTATTCTTTTTAACGAGGTTTCCACACAGAGCTAACATCGCCACAATTCTTTCATTGAGATAGAAATGTTAAAGTCGTTTAGACTATGAAGCAGACTGTGTTTCCTAATTCATGTTTTTGCAGTTGTTTGTTGTTTTTGTTCCGTTAGTATCATTATCATTCCAAACGTAGCTTCAGTCCTCTGTGGGCGGACGTGAAGATCACATATCTTGTTTACTGATGGGCCCTTTTAGTCATCTCTTGATAACATTTGGACAGACATATCTACAATGCGGAACTTGGTTTTGAAAAGTTTTCCCTGATGAAAGAAATTAAGCTTTTTGTTATTGTTATACACAAACTGACATGCTGGCCTAAATCAGGACTCAGTGTTTTCTACTCTTCTCTCTGTCCAGTGATACAGCCACCAGAATTTGGTTTCCCTCGAAAACATCTCTGAGGCTCAGACAGCTGAACAGAAAGGCCTTTGTGGCTCCCAGACCGCCTCCACGCTTCGTTTGGCAAACAGGCTCGTTCAGCAGGGTTTGGCTGGGATGGGTGGAGAGAGGCTGCTTTGGCTGCGCTGTGTTTCCAGCTTTGCAGAAGAGCTGGTACGAGTAGTTTTTTCCATATAGATGTCCTTCCTCAGGATGTGAAAGTTCAGCAGCAGAGGGTGTTATCCATGCTTAGTTAATCTGATCTTCAGATTACCTATTGGGAGCTTCAGCTGAGGGTAGAGAGGAGGTTGATTTCTCTGACTTTCCGAAAGTAAAGATTAATTTTCCATGTAAATGTTTGAAGGAGGAAGTTGCTGTTATTATTGTTCAGGATAATCTGCCAGAAGTTTAATAAAGGAAACCAGTTGATGGAAGTGGTGTCCACACCTACACTCAGTCATTTCCAAATAAATGTTGTCCACCTTGAAAGCTTTTTAAAATCTTTGTTTGGATGTGGACAGCAGGTACAAGTTTTCATTCTTAATTAATTTGGTGACATCATGCTGATTTATTTAGTCTTCTTTAGAATGGAGATAGTTGTTTGGGTTTGTATTGAACTCACAGTGTGTTTTTTTGGGTGGGTAGTACCTACTCTGGTCTACACAATTACATTCACTTTAGTAACTCAAACAATGTGCTGCGGTACCATCCTTTGTATTTCCACTCAATTAGTTTTATCTTAAAGTAATTCTTCTCCTAATTGATTACCATTACTGCCTTTAAGCACCTCCAGGTGTCAAGAAACGGGGACAGATCGACCCAGTATTCAAGGTGAGACAGCCAGTAGGAAAGTTCAAAACGTTTATTAAAACAAAACAGAACAGAAATAAAGCATGCCGCTGTGGATCTGTGGCTTGCGGCGGCTGCAGGAGGGGGACGGGTCACCTTCCAATCACTGACACTCTCTGGTGGAAAGAAACACAGGTAAGTGACCATGATCATCTGACAGAAGATGATGTTCTCAGTGAGTCACTTACCTGGTTTCACAGTTCAGTCCATCTCCCTAGAAAGGGGTGCGATCCAGCCAATGGGCGGACAACCCGACGCGGCGTGCCTGATGCTGCAGCCCTAGAGAAGTAGCAGGAAGCAGATCCAGGTCAGTGGAAGTCAGAGCAGGCAGGAATAGTTCAGCAATCTTAGAATCCTCTACCCCATCAGAGGTTTTCCACCCAACGGGAACAGCAGGATCCAGACTGCCAGGAATCTACAAAGCTTTCAGGCAGGTTCAGTGGTTGAGGGAAGCAGAGACGAGACGTTGTTCCAGGATTTCTGCAGGACTTTAAACTGGTATCCTCCTTGGAGCCAGGCGTACTGGAATAAAACCGACGCTCCCCGCGTTCCGAGCCAAAACCCTGAAGGCCCCGCAAAGAGGGATCAGAACAGGATCAGAAGACGAGACAAACACAAAAGCTCTCAACCCACTGGCCGCCAGGAACCAGGACATAAACCAGGGAATAAACTAAAAACCAAACAGACAAACAGATAACAAACAACGATCTGGCGCCGATCGCTCGGGCTGAATATAAAGGACCCGACGCATGTGGATGAGATGTGATAATTAGAAAACCGGGAGGAGTTAGGCAGGTGAGTTAAATGAACAATGAAGCTGAGCCATCAGGGCAGATCGTGACACCAGGTGTTTCACTGAAGGATAAAGATGCGTTAAAACCAAAAATGACAACAGAAAACACCCACAGTTAATGTAAAGCAAAACATCCTGTTTTTACACCAACTTTATTATTTTCTATTTGCTAAGACACAGCTCCAGTTAATATAAAGTAATGGATAAATACCTGAAGCCTTGTTCTAACCTACAGCGGTATACATACATTAGGGGTGGAACGGTTCACAAAATCCACGGTTCGGTTCGGTTCACGGTTTCGTAGTCACGGTTTTCGTTTCGTTTCGGTATATGTTGATTGTTACCCCGAAATCCCATAAAAATTAATTTAAAAAAAATTAATGTATTGTAATAATTTTTAATGATCCGCAGAAACCCTGGATAATTTCTGCATGTTTTGCTGCTTTGAATTTAATCATCTCGCGCATGCCCTCTACGATCTCCAAGGAACTCAGAGGGGAGCGGACGGGAGCCACAGTGGAGGCTGTAGGCTTTGCTTTGTGCAGCTGGTCTGGAGCACAGCGGGGGTTGCTGACGGAGTATGTGGGATTTCGGGGTTAGCCTGACATGTTGGTCATGTTGCTGTTAGCATAAACAAAACGTGTTGCACAATGCTTGCACACTGTTCCACTTTTATCCACAACTTTCTTTCCGCCGTCATCGTAGGTCACTCTAAATACAAAGCGGTCCCATACAGCAGACCTATAAAGTGCTGCTGGTGCGTCTTCCAACTCCTGTTCTTTCCCACTCGCCATACCCACACAATTCTCCACAACAACAGATTTTTTTCTGCTACACCCGGCTACGCTGCTTCGCTTCTTCTTCTTCTTGTTTACTACTGGTGATTGGCTTTGGTCGCAGTACCGCCACCTTCTGCTCTGGAGTGTAAACGCTTCGCCTATGATAAAAAGGAGCAGCGCATGAACTGAACTCAACACACGCGAACCGAACCGAGACAGTCGAACCGAACGGTTCGGACGGTTTTCATAAACTGTTCCATCCCTAACATACATGAATCAATGGCAGTGTTGGCTAGGGCCCTGTCTCACCTTGCCGATTTAGCCAGCATATGCCTGACATCCCAGAATCTCCTAAAACGCTGGCATACGCTAAACTTTCTATGATTTTTTTTCAATTATGGGCATATACATAGCGTATTCTTAACGAGTCCAGAACTTATGTCCAATGACCACCTAACTTATTGATAACTTATAAAGTAGAAAATTTGGCTGTATTTGGACGGTCTGAATTTGTCCCACTTTAGTTCAATAAAAGACGTTGAAAAGATGTTGCAAACCCAGTTTTCAGCATCTTTTCAACAATCTGAAAATTACTGATTGGAAAAAGTGAGCGTTTCTTTATGGTGCAGGATCAGCACGGTTAAGGTAGGTCCTGGAGGAAGCCCTCTTATGAAGTTATCTCATCCTTTTCAAACGACAAGATTACTCAGAGATGCATAAATCAAGTAAAATACCATGTTGTGGCTGGATTTGATGAAGAGTGTCATTAAAACATAGTTTAAAGATATATGTCCTTTTAAAGATACAGAATTTCTCCTAATCTTGTTTTTAGGAGAAATTCTGTCAGAAAACATAATTTCCTCAATGTTAATCTGATGGTGCAATAAATGCCTCAGTCCTAAAGTAGACTTTCTGCTAAATACTTTTGTACTTAAATTATTGAATTGGCTACTTCTACTTAAGATAATTTACAAACAAAGATATATAGAATTAGTGCTTCTCATAATGGAGTAAAATATCCAGCTGCTCTATCTGCTAGTTTGTTTTTGTCCAGGTGTGATGAGGCGCTGTACATAGCAATGAATCTCCTCTTTCTACCATCTTGCTCCAAGTTTTTTAAGCAAAGCAACCGTAATCTCTGTGATTCTAGCCTCTGAAAGAGATGCAAGCCTGCATCACTGGGAGATGGTACAGAACAAGGGGAAATTTTGAAAGCATAATGTGTTTCCAAAACTGTTAAAAAGAAAAACAATCCACTGGACTTTGTTTCCAAGTTTGCAGACTTTTCCTTCCCATCCAGAAAGCTTCTTCAATTCAAAAAGTCAGAAATAGTGTTGAATTTGAGGCTTTATAGAGTGGACCAAAACAAAGCTTTGTTTTGGCTTAGAAAACATGCAAATTGAACCGGACGAACAACTCCGCCCGTTATGAATGGGGTGGTTTCTGTTCTTAGTTAGCCTGGGTTCTTTGTCAGGCTTTTTTGGAATGGCTATGACATGGATGATGAGCATGTGAGTGGAGCAGATCGTGGAGAGCAGGGCGGTTCTCAATTTAAAGTCCTTGATTGAGGATTTGGCTCCAGTTCGCTCCGATGGGCTCATAACGTCAATTAAAAATGTTGGATTATAAAATTTGTTAGTCTATGTTTCAACTTTACCACGGAATCGCGACACGAGGATTGCATATTGCATAAAAAGTGGGAGAAAATATAAAAACATGCACTACCTATACTTAAGAATACAGAGTGGGTAATATGCAGAGATCGTTTTGGTAAGAGCCTTTTTTTGAAAATGGATCGCATACATGCATTATACGCTATTATCTCATTTGCAATGGGATGCAAAGTGACCTTTTTAATGTAGTTGAGTAAAATAAATTAATAATTAAATAGGAAACGCGGGGCAATATGAATGGAGTGAGGTGTTACATTCACAGCTATAATTTAACAGTCAGTTAAATAAGATGATACACATGTATCGGGGACATCATTAAATCAAACGCCATGTGTCCAAGGGCCCTGGCATCATTACATGAAGGGAAAATGTCAGAAAATGCCTTCTCCTGAAAATTGGAGCGAGCGTGGAGCGATGTTGCCGCAACGGCAGGAAAATGAAGGTGAGCATGGAGCGGATTTTGAGAGTAGCGTCCTGAGCAAATTTGATGGTGGAAGAAATTAGCAAACATCCTCGTGAGCGGGAATTGCGCGGCGCTCTGCTCGGCTCCGTTCACATGCTCTGCATTGATGACTGAGAATCCTTACAAGCATAAAGCCGAGATTGGAAACTGATAAAAATTTTGACTTAATTATAAACCACTGGTATGCTCTCAAAAGCACAGTAAGCCAATAATAACTCTGATGGGCTGAATTCTCACAACATATCATCACTCACATTATTAGCTATGATTAAGCAGGTCTGATTCCTCTCAAATTTGTCTTGCGTGACATATGTTTGGTAAAAATCCCAAGATAACAATCAAAACCCTGAGGTTCATAAAGGCATCACACATGACATTTCATTATTTCACCAAATACTTTCATTATTAATCTTCCACCACATGAAATAAGATGTGAGCAACAACAACAGGTTACATAACACAATTCTGGAAGGTTTCACAAGCCTTTAAAGCTCTTTGACAGAAACAGGTGAGGCTTAGCAAATGCTTGGGTGAGCTGTGTAAATCCTAAGGTTGTCTGAGGTGATGTCTGGTGTAAGCCAAGTTCAGTAGGGTGAAGAGAGCTTAAAATGGATGAAGAAGAAACCAAACACTTCCTGGTTTAGCAGTAGTTCTAGGAAGGAAGCTGTAAGCTTTGTTTGTCTTTTACTTGAATACGCACTGATAAAAGCCTCTTGATTGGCAGACAGCTTTGACCACTGCATGGATGAGACTCAATTGGAAAATGAGGAATAAGGAGGAAATGACTTGACT